AAACCACCAGAAAACCTGAAGTGGCGCTGTAGCTCAAGTGGTAGAGCACTCGCCTTGCATGCATGAGGCCCTGTGTTCGATTCCTCAGCACCACATAAGCAAAAAGAAAAAAGCTGGAAGTGGCACTGTGGCTCAAGTGGTAGAGCGCTCGCCTTGAGCTGAAGAGCTGAGGGACAGCGCCCGCCCAGGCCCAGAGTTCAAGCCCCACGACCGACAAAAAAAAAAAGTATACTAGATTACATAGGATCATGAGATGTCATTAAAACAAAAAATTATATTAAGTGAAGTAAGCAAGGCCCAAAGAAACATTTGGTCCCATGGCTTCCCTTATTTACAATAACTAATATAAGTCAAGGACAAGCAGAAAAGGTCAAAACTATGTACATATGACCAGACAAGATGATGCTAAGTGAAATGAACCACAAGATAGGAACACAACTTCTTTTTTCTTTCTATTTTTTTTGTTTTGATTTTTTTGGGGGGAGGTGGGGGTCGGTCATGGGGCATAAACTCTGGGCCTACGCACTGTCCCTCAGCTCTTCAGCTCAAGGCTAGCACTCTACCACTTGAGCCACAGCACCACTTCTGGCTTTTTCTGCTTATGTGGTGCTGAGGAATGGAGCCCAGGGCCTCATGCATGCAAGTCAAACACTCTATCACTTCCCAGCCCTTTGCTATTGTTTTTAATGTATCTCAAATGCACTATGTGATTTTTTTTGTTTCTCTTATATGTTCTTTCCCCCATGGTATAATCCCTGTTTTTCACTGTATTTGATCCTGGTGCCCTGTATCTTATATATACATTTTTCTAATTTGGGGAGGGGAAAGGAAATAACAAAATGCTGAAACAAGGATATAGGATAACCCATTGTAACAATGAGATGTACAAGACACTATGTAGAAAATGAACTTTACAACTTGGGTGTGGGGGGTTGGGGAGGTGGGGGAGAAGGGATGATAGGGGAAAAACAAAGGAGGAGGTAACAAGGCTCGATAGGAAATGTACTCATTACCTTACTCATGTAACTGTAACCCCTCTGTACACGATTTTTACAATTAAAAAAAACATAAAAAGTACTAAACTAGAAAAAGCCAACAAAATGAACTTTACAACTTGGGGGGAGGTGAACTGGGGGGGAAGGAAAGTGGAAAAAAAGTGAGGGAGGAGATAACAATGTTCAACAAGAAATGTACTCATTACCTTATTTATGTAACTGTAACCCTTCTGGAACATCACCCTTACAATAAAATAAAATAATTTTTAAAAGAAAGATAGCCAACAGACTTGGAAAAGATCTCCAACCAGCTATACACCCAACACAGGGCTAATATCCAAAATATACAAGGTGCTCAAGAAATCACCCCCAAAAAACTAATAAACCAATCAATAAATAGGCAAAGGTGCTAAAGAGACTTCTCAGACTAGAATGGCTAAATCAAAACAAAAAGCTCAATCAAAACAACACTAAGATTCCATTTCACCCCAGTTAAATTAGCCAACATTGAAAATTTGAATAATAACAAATGCTGGTGGGGATGTAGGGAAAAAGAAACCCTATTGCATTGTTGGTAGAAATATAAAGTAGTAAAACCATTCTGAATGGTGGTTTGGAGATACCTCAAAAAATTAAACAAAGACTACAATCCAGCCATACCACTCTTGACCATCTTCCAGAACATCACAAGTCAGAATATGGTGAAGATACTTGCACATTTATGTTCATTACTGCACTACTCACAATAGCCAAGTTATGGAAACAATCCAGATGCTCTACAACAGATTGTGAATTAAAAAATGTGTTGCATATACACAATGAATTTGGTCATCCACTAGAAAGAATAACATTGTGTCATTTTCAAGGAAATGGATGATCTAACACAAATCATGTTAAGTGAGGTAAACCAAGGTCAGAGAAACAAATAGCACATTTTCTTCTCATATGTGAAAGCAAGATCTAAAATATAACTCTGGTCTAATTTCCAAGCTACTAGGTATAATAATGTCTAGCAAGCAAATGGACAAAATCCAATACTCATCTACACAACCATAACATACTTTTCTCTACCACTAATCTATCTTCTTGAGTAAGAAGTAAGACATAGAGCATGTCCGCACCAGTGGTTCATGCCTTTAATCTTGACTACTAAAGGAACTCAAATCTGGCTCAAATGGTAAAGTATTGGCAGAGCAAACAAGCCAAACAAAGCAATCACAAAGACATAAGATCAAACC